GGGAGGGTCTCACCCGCAACGATGGCCCCCCCCCCCTTGGAGGGCCCACGTCAGCCATCATATTCTGACTGTGAAAGCCTTTGACAATACATTACATCTACCTTGAAGAGTCAAGACCTTGGGGAGTTTGAGCAACTTCATTGACAAAGGACTATGCAAACCACTCACAGCAACCTTTGGGAGTCTCATTCCTCCCAAAAAAAGTATTTGGACATTCTAAACAAGGCTGCTTCCTTTGAGCAGATGCAGATAACACAGTACAGTTGGCTATATAAAGATTTAATCTGTTGTTAGAACCAGTGATTCTCTGGCTTGTTCTTGACTTCTTTCTCCAGCTGTTCTAAAACAACTGAACAAATCATGGAAGGAATGATCTGAACAACCCATGGAAGGAATGTCTTGTGACTGACTTGTAATCCAAACCTTTCACAAGAAGAGTCTTTGGGCAGGACTGGAGTAGTGTGCATAAGCACAATAGCTTGTCCTTAAATCAGAATTTGGTTTGCTGTATCATCTGAACACACTCACAGGCAACATGTCCAGGACGTCTCCCATCCAGGAAGTGGTCAGATTTAGATTTGCTTCATTGAGGGAGGGTTCTGTGGCATATGTCTTCAGCCAAAGCCCTGATACCTGATAGAAGCTGGTATTTTTCATTTCATTCAACATGATTCTCCTGTCACCAGCTAATTGCAGTGTTGAACAATTCTGTGGAGCTCCCAGAACTAAGTCTTACTTTAGCCATGGAGGCTAGTATTATAGGATAAAGCATGCCTAGCCTGATTCTGATCTGTTTGGCTCTTTTTCTGTCCATGTGGCTTGTTTTTCAGTTGGAGGACAACGCAGGAAGAACAACAGTGAGCCACTTTCCAGAACATTGCCAGTGGTGAGCAGTAAAGCCAGAGGGAAAGACAGATTGACAGGCAGAGCCAGAAGGTAGGAGAGTAACTTTAAAAAAGATTTCACACTTTTTTATATGTGTCCTCTTTTAAATCAAGAATATAGTATCCATTTTGGAATGGGCTTTAATTTGCAAACAATTTCATGTATATATTTTACATTTTAAATGTACAGCTTTTTAAATGTACAGCTTATTGACTTAGAGCAGTATAATATTTTTCCTAACACATCGATGTAACTTCCTTCACAGAAATATGGAAGCCATTGTCTTCTTCCTGGATGGATGGATGGATGGATGGACGGATGATAGATAGATAGATAGATAGATAGATAGGCAGGCAGGCAGGCAGGCAGGCAGGCAGGCAG